CACCCCGTTGCACAGCGGTCGTATGTTTTCGTAATTTTCGTGTGCGGTCGGTTTCACGTGTGATTATTTGCCCGTTTTGCTTGTTACGTTGCTGAGGAGGGGAAGTGCGTGCATCTCTTTTGTATTTGTTTCTAGGACATGACTGAATTCGGGGTTGCGTGGGAGATATGCCATATAGTTCACGTTACGACTGCGGTTCAGGTTCGAGCAGCGAACGAATTTTTGAAAATACGCACATTTCAGTACATTGAAAAATTGAAAGTATTGCTTGAGCGGTCGTTTTCCAAAAAATCCATGTTCATTTGCATGTACAATTCCGGTTCAGATCCGAGTTGCTAACGATTTTTGGGTTCAGGAGCTGCTTGAGGCTGTGGTTGAGGAGCTAGAGGGCTGAGTTTAAAATTTTTATCTCGCACGTGCATAGAGAATATCCCTGCAAAGTTTTGCTACGTTGTCTGGTTCGCGAAATCGTTTCCCGCCAACAAATTCCTTTGAGGGTCTCGTGCGCGGCTTACGTTGCCTGGTTCGCGAAATCGTTTCCCGCCAACATATCTTTTCGGGGGTCCCGTACGTGGTGTCTAGGCGCGTGAGTTTAAAACTTTTATCTCGTACGTGCATAGAGAATATCCCTGCAAAGTTTCAGCCTTCTACGTTGCGGGTTTAAAACCTTTATCTCGTACGTGCATAGAGAATATCCCTGCAAAGTTTCAGCCTTCTACGTTGCCTGGCGAAACCGTTTCCCGCCGACAAATTCCTTTGAGGGTTTCGTGCGCGGGGTTTAGGCGCGTATGGGGGCGGGTCTCGTACGTGCATAGAGAATATCCCTGCAAAGTTTCAGCCTTCTACGTTGCCTGGTTCGCGAAACTATATTACTTTGGGGGTCCCGTACGCAGGGTCCAGGCGCGTATGGGGAAAGATCTTAAAACGGGGGGATGACACACGGGGTAGGAACATATATCCAAAGTTTCAGCCTTCCAGCTTTTCTGGTTGCCGAGTTGAAAGTGGGTGACGAAATGCACTCGCTTTCCGAACACACACACACAGACAGCCTCTCGACAATATGCGTTTTTGCTGGCT